AAGGGGTTTGAAGGAGGGGTCCAGTCGTTTAAGTTTATTTGCTAGCATGGAGTCTGCTTTATTTGCTTTCTGATAAAATTTGCGGGCAGTGCGATTTAGCTGTTTAGCCGCATGATCAGTAAGGAGTAAGTTCAGAGCTTGGCGAGCCTTTTCCAGATTCGCTCTATTAGTGGGGGAGGGGTCTTTAGAGAAGGCCTGTGAGTGAGTGTGGAACTCTAATTCTAGATCAGTCAATTTTTTAAGTCTTTCTTTTTTCAGTCTAGAGGATAGTTGGATCAGTTGTCCCCTGATGACAGGTTTGTGTGCTTCCCACAAGGTGATTGGGGAAATGTCTGGTGTCTTGTTGAGGGTTAAGTAATCAGTTATGTATGTTTTCGATCAGGAATTTGGTGGAAGGATCTGACAACAGGGAGTCGTTGAGGGTCCACAAAGTGGCTCTGGTATTAGGGAGTGAGGATGTAAGTAGTAGAGAGACGGCAGAATGGTCAGACCATGGTACCGGGATGAGGTGGGATTGAAGGATGTGTGGTGTTAGGAATGCGTCTGTGAAGATGTGATCTATCCTGGAAAACACCTTATGCGGGTTCGAATAATGTGAGTAGTTGGTCTTATGGGGGTTAGTCTCTCTCCAGCTATCTACCAATGAGTAGGATGCGATCAATTCTCTAAACGATTTTGCTGTGTGCAAAGATGAAGGGGAAACATTTGATTTATCCCTGTGAGGATATAGCACAAGATTCGAGTCGCCACACATTATGACAGCTCCTGTGGAGCACGAGGCTACTGTTTCGAGAAGATCCCGGAAAAAGGTAAGCTGGTCCGTATTGGGAGCATAGTATGACACTAGGGTGATCTCCTTATCTTCTAGCAAACCCGTGAGGATTAAGAAACGCCCCGATGGATCACTGGTCTCTGATTGACAGACAAAGTTTACCGATCTGCGGAAACCTATAAGGACTCCTCTTTTTTTACATATATCATTGGCCATATAAATATTAGGGAATTGGGAGCTAAAATATTTGGGGCATGAAGTTCTGGAGAAGTGTGTCTCCTGCAGAAATATAATACTAGCATGAGTGGATCTAAAGAACCTGAAGGCTCGAGTGCGCTTGTTAGGGGAGTTGAGGCCTTGCACATTAAGGCTCAGTAAATTAAGAGTCATGGGGAAAGGTAGTGCGAGATATCATAAAGTACTCACCCGTCCGGGATTGAGGAAAGAGTGACAAGGAGCGTCGGTCCACCAGTGCACGGTCCAGGGAGAAGGCTGAGAAAAGAAGAAGAGAGAAGAGGAAGGGGGGTAGGAGAAGACAAAACGAGACAATGGACATCAGACATACAGAACATATACGTGGTGCAAATCCACGGCGTGTCGGGGACGTTAAGTGGAGGGATCTCATGGATCACTATCCACTCAAGGTCACCTTACGTAGGAGGGCACAGTGACATGCCCACCCAGACAAACCATAGTCAGTATATAATTCACTATAATAAACTGTGAACAGGGATCTTAGGCAAACTGTTGCTTATATCAACTTTGTACAGGGGATCCTATGCAGTAGGGTACAGGAATCCAAGAAGGGATAGGGGTAAGGGGGTGAGAGGGGTCTCTATGTTGAAGCATTACCTACTTCTACCCAGATCATATATTACTATAGGCCAAGGCTCACAGTTGTGGGCATCTTGGAAAAGGAGTGCAGACTTGGCCCTAGCAGCTGCTGAAAGAGTCTCCTTCGTGCGATAGAAGTGTAATTTCACCAGCACATCTCTCGGAGGGCCATCCGGACGTTTTCTTGTCAAGGTCCTATGGACCCTCTCAATCTCTAGTCGATCTAGTGGAAGTGCCGGGGCCAACTCCTGAAATAGAGCCGTCTTGGTTGCATACAAATCTGTGATATGCTCAGGAAAGCCTCTTATCCGAAGATTTGATCTGCGGGATCTATTTTCCAGGTCTTCTAGCTTAGAGAGTAACTGTGTATTCTCTTCCTTCAGCAAACTCACCTCTCCTGAGATGCCAGAGAGGTCCGTTTTGAGGTCGTCACAGCGGTCCTCCAGAGCAGCAGTACGGTGGCCTATCTCCCTGATCTCCTTTAGAAGCCTGTCTGTGATTTGCTTAGAGGTCGAGTGTAAGGCCTTCTGTAGCATGGTTTCGAATCTTTGTAGGAGGGCTGACTCTGATCTATTGCGGGATCTATTAATCTCCCTTGTCCCAGCGTCTCCCTCATCCATATCACTGCTGGTCTCTGAGGCAGCCATGTGCGCGGAAGAGTGTGCCGCGGTCGCCATTTTGGCCGAGGCCTTGGTCTTTTCTGAGGCGGGCTTACTTTTGATCGTAGAGGTGAGTTTGGATCCCGAGGAAGGCATATCCTCTGTCAGGGTGGATTCCGGTACCGAGATAGATATAGCAGGGTAGTGGAAAGCGCGATGCTTCCGGGTCATACGTGATTTGTCCGGGCAGGCAGCGGAGCTGTCTCAGAAGACGTCTGACATGACAGCCGCGCGCATGCGCTCCTCCGAGTAGTTTTTTTAAATAAAAAATATTTTTTTTTTTAATTTGACGGTTTTACGATATAGGCTGTTTTTATATTTTATTGGATATAGTCGTGATGACATGCTGACGTCATTTTCTGTGTAACGAATGTGGAGAGACAGACTTTGAATACGATCGATTGGAGATCCTACAAAGCAATTTTAGACCTGCTTAGGCCTACTTGTAAGGTGAGTGGCCACTAAGAGGGGTGGGCACCTGGGCGATAATTGTAATTGGTGTATGGACTTTGTATAAAGAACTTTCACTGTGGTTCACTAAATAAAGAGTGTGGTGCACTTGGGACAAATCTTGAGCACTTTATGCGTGTGAATCCACATATGTGCACATCTGAACACGGAATATTATGATTGAACTTTCCAGAGGGATATTTATTATTATGGGTTGCTATATACACGGAAATCAATTGTGAACAATTTGATTCCATGTATTGTTTAGCACATATTTATTATAGAGATTTGTTTATTTATTTGATTGTTCTAGTTGAAACGCAGCACATTCATTATTATAAGAAAATCCATAGGTCTATGGCCAGCTTAATATAAATATTTACACATTAATGCCAGAATACAGTGTCACTGCCTGTGAAAATCTGTAAATCCACATACAGCTTAAAGGCATCCCCAAGCATATTATTTACAGAATTGGTGTTTTTTTCCATGTCTCCCTTGAAGTTGTATTAAAAGGACTCACTCCCTGCTTTACTGTATCTGCTTTTTTTTATTGCTTTGTTAAATGTCAAACCCAAGCAGATGCGTTCATCCCTACCAACTACCTTTTGGCAAAATAAAAATAGAAATACTTTGTTAAAAGCAGCATGATGTCTGATTAAGGGCTCATGCACATAAGCACATTGTTTTGAAAAATGTTGTCTATGCACTGTACACATGTGGCTTTTGAGTGAACGCTTACATGCATACAGCGTACGTGGACCCTAATGGCTACCATTGCTGCTCAGATCTGACATGTAAATATCAACAATGTGTAGCCACTGGTGGTGCTGGTGCTGTGTACACACTAATGTTTTTTTAAATCTTCCCCTGAATGATTCTCAGAATAACCCGGCCCGATTCTGAATGGCCGGGGCAATTCTGCACTTGAATGACTCATGCAGGGGGAGATGTAAGACATCAACAGTGTGTAATCAGCGGCAGTGGCACTGCTGGCTACACATTATTGATATTTACATGTTGGCCCTGAGAAGCATCGACAACCAATAGGGCTCATTTACAATGTATGCATGTTAGCACAAGTGTTTAAATACATACAGCATAAAATACCATCCATATGCAGGAACATGAACCCATATTTTTCTAGTTTTGGTTTACACAACTTAATGCTGCAGACCATAGTGGAGAAGTATGCATGGGCCCATACAATTCTGGTGAGTTCAGGTCCATATAAATTACAGATCCGTATGCAGCAAATTTTATGCCTGTGTGCATGAACTTATAGATGCTAAGCATTTAACAGCATGTAGAAAAAGCAGAGATAACTACCTAGTATTAGAGCTACAAAGGGACCACTGACTCCTTTCAGCAGCCCTGCTCACTGCCCCCCTTTCATTTCTGCAATTGAATAAGTCAGGAAGTTTCCAGACAAGGGCAAAAAAGAAACACATACAAATCAAAAGTAAACAAAAATGAATGTGCTTTGGTGCTTCCCTGACACCTTGGGCCTACTAGTGCCTCAAAGAGAATTTAGCCTTGTCCTTTTCTGCATCACAGGTGAGATAAGGTAGTGATGCTGCCTGTCCCACTACACTTTTCTTTTAACTGTCAGGTTGAGAGTACAGTAATATACTCTTCAAAATTAACTGAGAGTGAACAATGGTGTTTAAATACATCACTTGCAAAAGGGAAGCTGCACCAAGGTTGCAATTCCCAGCATATCCTGGGCATTTGTGAGTTGCATACAGTTATGTTCTCTTCCATCACCATGCTCTCTGCACCCTGCTGCCTGTAATAATGTAACTTATATCCTGCTTGCTGAAGGTCGCTGCTATAATTAAACACCAGAAGGACACACTAAATATGATCTGTAACATCTGAACTAACCTCTCTGTTGAACTATTCTAAACCAAAAATTACTCCTAACTGACACAGCACATAAATTCCCTTTTTACATGATTTATCAATGTCCAGAAAAACATCCTATTTAATATTATGCATATCATGAATTTTGCTTTGGTGCAGTGCTAGAGAACAAGCTCAACCTTCACCTTTCAGAATTATGTCAACGATTTCAAATGAATTTGGGAAGCTAGTAAATTTTGGCTAGTATTACATGTAAATTCAATCCTCCCATCACCCCTTAACCTTCTGCATAATCTGTCTCTAATGGCTCTGCCCTTTGGCTATTTTGTTATGTAGGAGGGGCAGAAGCAGGGTGGGCTTTCTGGGAGAACTAAAGGTGTTAGACACTCAGAAGCCTGTTATCTCCACCCTGCTTCAGACCAGCACAATCAATCCCTAATTTTTCCCACTTTTTTTACCCTTTTTGTCAGAACCATGTCTCGACCTCTTACTGACCAGGAGAAGCGAAAGCAGATCAGTGTTCGGGGTTTAGCTGGAGCAGAAAATATTTCTGATCTCAAAAAGAATTTCAACCGCCACTTACACTTCACACTTGTGAAGGATCGCAATGTGGCCAATCCCAGAGACTACTACTTTGCCTTAGCCCACACAGTGCGCGATCATCTGGTGGGGCGGTGGATCAGAACACAACAGCATTACTATGAGCATGACCCTAAGGTGAGTTACACTTTGTAAACAGGTAAATGCCTTACATAAATATCTTAAGTGCTGATACTTTGGTTCTGTACATTATGTTCTCAGAGAATGCTTTCTTATTTTGTATTGTACATTAAACATTCTTTGCGGTCTTTCCTCATATAGATTTAAATAATATAAATCAGAATTGTAAATGTCTGATTTGTCAGGGTTATTGAACCACTACACTAGAAGTATTTGAATTAACAAAGTAATTGGTGTTTAGGCACATTTTAAATGTTTGACTGAATAAGCATGGATTAGATGTGATGCTTTGCTTCATTGGTTTTTTTTTTATGACTGCTTGATACAGTAGATTCTAAGTGGCACACATAATTTGTCAGCTTCCTAAGGAATCAATTACTTTTTTTTTTTCTTAAAGTGTAGTTCCACTTTTGAAGTCATAGCAGGGGAAACTTCTGTTTTAGAGTTTTTCAGAGAGGAGCAAGTAACGGGATTTTTTTTTTTTTTTTAAGTTATGCTAAATGAATGGGAACATGTAACAAACATAAAATAGGTGTTGTCCTAATTTGGCTGCAAAAGTGGAAATATACTTTAAAGCTACTTTGCTAAGAACGTGTGTGTTTGCCACCTAATGTAAAGCGCAACCAAATATTATTATAGTACTCAAAACTTTTATTTTTCATAAATACCTTACAATATGATAATATATCAAGATTGCTCTTACATTAGCATGCATACAAAATAATAGATTTATGTTGTGTTAAGAGTTTAGTGAATCCTGACTTTTTTTTCAGTAAGGGCCCATATACACATGGCACACGTATGAATGGGTTGCCTTAATGTACCACAATAAATGATAACATGTACATTACCTTTTTTTTTTTTTAACAACGCAGTGCACTAGAGCGCATGGTATATGAGTTATGGTGCAATGTGGTGCGATGGGCTAGTAGACTGCACAATGCATTGGGATATAATTCACCATGAATGGCACCACACACACAGAGCAGATGCCTGCATCCAATCAGATTGTTCAGGTATTTTGAGAGCCAGCGGGACCGATTAGCAAGATACTGAAGCTTGGCACAGCGGGAGATTCCTCCATCCACACGGATGGAGGAATCTGTTGCACTTTTTCCATCTCACCATAGGCTGATAGAAAAAAATCTATATAAAATCTATAGATGTATGGACAGCTTTAAGAAAGACGTATGCAATACAGCTGTTAAGGATACATTAGTGGCAGGTAATCATGGACCCTTGGAATTGCTTGGATTAGAGTACAAAAAACATACATAATAATCTGAAGGATTAACCTTCTAAATCTAAAACTTCTTAAATTTACTCTTGAAGAAACATGGTCCTGTTCCTACAAGAGCTTGAACACAACTTTGTATGTATTGTCAAGCAGGGAGCTGACAGTTCAGTATGAGGAACTATGTTGTCTGTAACTGATAGATGTTTAGGGTTCTGTGGTTGAATGTAAAGTCATGATATCATGAGTAGCTGCTCATAAATTGCTAACAATTTCCCAGTTGTGGGTAAGCAGCTACTAGTTCAGGATCTAAAACTCTGAAAAATATTGTTTAGGTGCCCTCCCCATCTATATCATATTGCCTGACAGCATTTCTTACATAAGGCAGAATAGTGGAATCTTCTAGTGCATCATGGAAACAAAGTTCTACTCAACTTTGGAATGTTGGGGAGTAGAGTTGGCCACACATGAGTTTTATAGATACAGTATATACATAATTTATGTTTGCTTATGTGCCAGGTTGTTTATGGTATTTTTCAAATTGAAGCTAAGCTTACACTGGTACTGGATGCACAAAATTCAATTTCTATGTTGTTGGTGCTGTGCTCACTGTGCGACCTCTTGGGCAAAAAATACAAAGCAATCGGGAGCTGTGACCTAAACATTTTAAAGAATTTTGGGCCAGAGCACTATGCCCACCGACAGGGCTGATGCTAGACTATTTTGCGCCCTAGTCAAGCTACTTGCACCCCCCCATCACGGATTGGCTGAAGTTTGCAAGAGACGGCTTAATTTAATCTCCAGTGATCATCATCCAATTCGGATTAACAGCATCACCCATTAGCACTCAGCACTGTTGGTCAGTCAGACAGAAAGCAGCTGTGGTTTTCTAATTAGGTGGCCACTCACTCCACCGCTGCTGTCACCCACTGACCACAATGTACCCCCTGCGGCTCTTACCCACTTACCCCAACAGCAGCCCATTTACCAATGCTACAACATTCCCCCCCATCACACACCCTTAACACTCTCCCCCAAAATCACAATCCCCTAACCCCCATCACACACCCCAACAACCCTGCTGAGAGTAACAGGCCAACAAATAACCACAAAACAACA